TGTTTATAAGTTCATAAGAAACAAAACAGGCCTTTCATGACAGGAGAACGGAGAAACCTCTCCCAAGAGCAACAGGAACTTTGCTGCAAGACAGGCATATGTAACGATGACTTGGCGCAGATAAAGTCGTGTCTTATTTATACTCTGTTCTACTGACAACAGGCCAGCGAAAAATCTAACAATCTACAGCAAAACCATCAATTATTATGGGCGTTATAACGTAGGTGTGCAGCTGGACGAAACATACACGTCGAACCCCCCCAGACGATTTAAATCCCTGACGAAACATACACGTCGAACCACGGCAACGGGTTAACTATATTTGAACCACATTTATATTACAGTGTATCTGTTAGTATAAAAATTCATACAAACACAATAAGAATTCGTATTGATCAATGACGTAATTACAAACTAGTACCAGTATTCTCGTGCACCCAAAGGTGAACCAAGAAAAGGGTTGAAACAAGCAGTGTTACCACAACAGCTAATAAAAACAAATTGTAACAGATTTGATTGACACATTACTAGGCAGCAGCTCTGTAAACACTGTCCAACATGCAACAACAGAGGAGGCTGTGTTTTCCATGTCCACATTGACATCACGCACAGCAGGTGGCGGTCATGTTACATGTGTTTGTTGTATGTCCATGCAGCTGATGCCAATGGACTGGCTAGATAGTGATCATGTGACACTTGTTTCCTGTGGTGCATGTCCATTCCTCAGCTATATAAGTGAGAAGAATTCATAAGCTGGAGTAGTAGTAGCAGCAGAAGCATGCAAACAGGCAAGCAGGCATTAAGCTCGAGTACAGAAGAGTACAAGAAGTCAGCCTGTGAAGATTTAACGTGTGATTTGAAGAAGTTATGCATGCTATAGTGCATTGATATTGGGAGTATGATTTAGTGAGTCGTTATAGTTCCTGTGTTACAAATCCATGAAGACTAATGGAGATAATTGAAAAGAGTAGCATGTAGTGCTTTGTAGTGTGAAAGTCAGTAACAGTGTTATTTGTAGTTGCAACCTGTAAGTATCCAGTAAATCCAAACCCCGTCTTTTGTCACTGAAACATTTTAATTTTTATACTTTTAATATCAAGTTTTAACTATATCTATGCCACATTTAAATTAGAGTGTATTTGTTAGTGTAAAAATTCTTACAAGCACAATATGAAGTCATATTGATCAATGATGCAATTCAGGAACTACTACCAGTATGCCTGAAGATGACCCAAGAAAAAGGTTGAATCATGTAGCATTACCACCAACAGCTAATAAAAACAAATGTTGACAAAGTAATGTCTGTTTTGTCTCTTTCAGAATTATTGTTGTATAGACTGTCCTATTATGTATCATTCATGTTAGACAACAGGAAGCATACCATAAAGGTTGTAAACTTCTTTCTAGGTTTGTACTGAATTCATTCTAGGCCTTAAATGTTTTCATATCTGCCGTACTTTCTTTACTGATTAATTCTAAGAAGCAAACTCTTCTTGAGATAATGACAGTTGCTCAGCCAGTCAAGATATTTTCTGTGCTTTATGGAACGCAAAGATGCATTACCATGTTAACAAGAGACTGCCACTGGGTGTGTTCTGAGTCACATGAAATCAGTCCACACTGTCCCGTCCTATTTCTTTGAGATCCATTTCAACATTTTCCTGTCTGCACCTAGGTCTTCTAAGTGGTTTTTTTACCTTCTGGCTCAGCTTCTAAAACTTGCATGCATTTCTCTTCTCTCCCTTGTGTACTACATGCTGTTCCTGTCTCATTCTCCTTGATTTGATAATGACACTAATGATATTTGTTGTGTACAAATTTTGAAGCTTCTTGTTATGTATCTCTCTCCAGCGTCCAGTTGCCCCCTACCTGGTGGATACCAATAACCTCCTCACTACCCTGTTGTCAAGTGAGGGGTAAGAAAGAGAGTGCGTGGAGACTTGTGTGTGTATCTGTGCACGTGTGCTGGCATATGTGTGTAATTGTAAGAACAGTGTTCCCCTGCACCAGCGATGAGCAACCTACAGCCAACCTGGCCCTTCAGAATGAAGTTTGTTGACATGTGTAAAAATCACTGAGTAAGAAAATCATATAGTTACTGGGATGTTTTAGAGGCAACTGTTGCCTCCATCTTCATGGTGGAAGAGTAAGCTTTTGACCCTGAAGATGGAGACAGCAGATCCCTCCGAAACATTGGCAATGATCTGCCAGTCTACATGGCATCACATCTCAGCTGACAATGATCAACTGCTGTCAGAATGTGAAATCATGCAAGGAAAACGCGCAAAATTAATTTTTACATGACTGTTAACTTTACTATGTAATATTTTTGTATTCTCTAATTCATGAAAACATTTGTAACCATGGGGTGCCCCATATGGTATTCCCTGTCACAAAAATAATACATATTGTGATATGTAAATTGTAAAGTTGTGGTTAGTTGTTGCTGTCATGTGTCTTTTGATTCTCAGACTATGGAGACATTGTCTGTGTGGCTCGATCTGTATAAATGCTTCCACCAAGCTGCACTTCGTGATGTGCCAACCTTGGATGTCAATGAAATATGTGAGACCATGTCCATGAAAATTTGTCAAGCCCTGGGTAAGCATTGTCCCACTTCTGCAGACCAGGCCATGCCACTGCTCAAAGCTGTGCAGAATATTGTCATGATGATCCCATTTAGTGACATCTGTGGAACTCAGCAGTCATCAAAAAGAAAATCCAGATCCTCTCTTCTGCCAGGTAAGTATTCCTCAAATTTAGTAAATTAGAAACTTGAAAAATTTAGTGTTCCTGCATAACATAAAATTTTTTCCAGTCCCAATTGACATGTAATGTAAACACTGTAATTTTCCTGTATATGTTTAAATTTAATAAATAGCCAGCATGTAGTGTGAAAAATTGTTGCTGAATTAGAACTTGTGCCTTGATATGATATTGTGGTCAAAACAGTGATAGTATTCACATTTTCTATGTGCTGGAGATTGCTAACCACTTTGTCAAGTGATGTCACACATTAAACATGCACCAAAACCACACCTTTCAGGGCTTTTCGGCTTCTTGCTTGAGATTTTATCGGTGTTCTCTTCACATATTAACAGTTATTTTATAAATTGGTTTTGTTATGTTGATTATGTAGTTGTATTTATTTATGTAGAAGCAGTTTCTTAAAGTACTTACATAAAGCAATTAATTTATTCTCTGCTGTCACTACAACTCTGTGTGTGCCTTGCCTCCATGGTTTTGCAGCAGGAAATTTTTCTTGGATGTGGTCATTAGCCCCACACCCAGCCTTTGACATGGAGGACCAGGGGCTACACTTTGTCTTGTCCTTATACTGCGATCTGTCAGGCTTGTGGTCCTGCCAGCGTAGCTGTTTGAGTCATTGGGGTATGCATTAAATAGGGATTTCACTGCAATGGAATTTGAGTTTGAAGGACTGAATAAATACACCATTCTCATCTCAAGTTCATTGAAGCTGCATATTATATTGTGACATGTAGACCCACTGCCAAGTAACATCTGTGTAAACAGGCAACAATACAACAGCCATTGCTAGGGAACAGATGTTTTCTGTATTTTCTGTTCTGTGGCTGTGTAATTAGGACTAGTAGTTCCACTGTGATAGTGTCAGTTGAGAGTTATGAGAACTGACAAGCTGGTAGCTAAGGCCAGGGACAGTTCAGGAACCCAGAGGAATGGGAATGTCTGCCATTGGAAGCCACTACCAAGCAATGGCTAGAGAAGACAGAAGTCTTTATGTGTCTTTGGAATGTATGTCTTCATGAGACTGTCATAATTATTTGAAGTTACAAGTGTAAGTGTCCAATAAATCCAAACCTCATCTGTAGTCATACTTAACCATGTGACAATACTGTGATTTGGCACCGTATATATGTGGTGTTAACCAACGTTTCGGAGGAACGTATCGCCTCCATCTTCAGGGTAGAAGAAAAAAATATAAGAATCTGCAAGCAAAGAGACCGTGAGCTGTGTATTTTTCCACAGTCTGCTTTTACCGGTTCTCACGGTCTCTTTGCTTGCAGATTCTTATATTTTTTTTCTTCTACCCTGAAGATGGAGGCGATACGTTCCTCCGAAACGTTGGTTAACACCACATATATACGGTGCCAAATCCCAGAAGACTGCTTTCTTCATAGTCACCGCCGTGAAAGCCTCAAATCTTACAATATCATTATACTTTTCCATGTTCTTTGTTCAGTGCATTGGTGGTTGTATGTGCAGCATCAGTTCACAAACATGTTACTCTGATTGCTTTGTTCAAATGATGGATTCAGTCAGTTGCTCCTAGTAGGTAATTTACCTTGCACATGATCAATGATTAGCTAGGGAGACACCAGTGCTTTTCTACATGAGCTACAGAAAATCATTCCGGTGTTGGAAGCAGTGTGGCACATTGGAAATACTGCACCCAGGGTACAGTAATTAAATACATGTTTCTGAAGACTCTTTGATGAATGTGTTGTTGCAGTTCTTTCTCTTGATTTCTTCATACAATCATATTTTTCAATTTTATGGTTATGATTATATCTACCAAAAAGGAAATGAGTACAGTAAAAGAAATTTGTGCAAGATTTGACAGACTGAAACACGGCAATTCAAAAGCTAGTTTGTTTCATGAGTTTGATGTTCCTGAAGGAATAGTTGATGGATTGGTTGATCAAGGAGATACAATCGGTCTTGATAGAAAAAAATGCCAGATGTAGTGACGTATGTGAAGTTGATATATATTTGATTGCATAGTTTTTACAGTGAAGGCAAGTCAATGTCGGCCACATCTGCAGGCACAGGTGGTTAAATTTCATAAGGAAATCAGCAGTGCTGATGAATTTAATACATCTGATGATTGGTTATTGAGATGGAAAATTCATCATGGGGGTAATGGGAGACATGCAGAAGTAGAATGTCATTCTGACAGTGCAGCGGCCAGAGGAGTCTGTGGGACATATTGAAGATGATTGAGCGTGAATACAGTGAAGACCAGTTGTACATTTGTGATGAAACTGCACTCTACCATAGAATGCTTCTAACCAAGCTGCTGGATATCAATATGTCAGCAGATAAATACAGTATGAAAATGAGCAAAGAAGGGTGATGTTGCTGTCGTGCACAAACAAAATGGGATGCCACAAATTGAAGTATGTGTGTGTTGTAAAAAACCGAAGTCCTCTTTTTCAGGTCCATTAACATCGTATCTTTGTCATTTGTAAAAGCAGCAAGTACATCTGGATGACTCAATGATGTTTTCCTCTTGTGGTTCAGTGAAGATTTAATGTCAGTATTAATTAATTACCTATATTGATGAAAACTATGAAAAGCTGTGCTTTCTCTGGATAACTGTCATGCACATTTCCCTTTTGAATCTCTGATATCAAAAGGGAAAAAAAAATAATAGTGAAGTCTTTACCAAAAAATGCTACAGCGCTTTTTGAACCCTTGGAGCAAGGCATTATTGGAGCTTTTAAAGCCTGTTACCGATGGTCATTGCTTGCAGATGTCGTTAACTCAGAGATGCAAGTTCCATAGTTCCTGAAAGCAGTTACATTTAAGAATGTGGCCTACAATATCAGATTGGTACAGAAAACATTAGTTTTAGGACAATTAAAAGTTTCTGGTCAAAATGCATCACTACAACAGAAGTGTATAATCCAGGTTTTACTGTATTACATTTCATTTTATTATGTAAAATATTTACTTTAATTTATGAAGAAATAAATAATTTTTCTATAAGTAAAAAAAAAGTCATGACTTTTCCTTCCTAAACCATTATGCATCATACAAACCAGAAAATACAGTATTTCACTGCTGAAGGCGGTATTCTGGAAGCAGCTGTAAGGTATGCCTTCTGTTTCGCAACCTTGAAGCTGTTGTGTATGGTGGCAGTTTTCAACGAATATTTTTTCTTATCGTTTCAGATAGGGGACGAGCATCTAAGCCAACAAATTATATTACAAATACGATGAATCTTGTGGTGAAGGTGTCCCAGTTGTTTCCTGCCTTTGAACGCTCAGGTGAATGGTACAACACTGTAGGCATCCTCATAATGAGCTGCTTGGAGACATTATTTAAGAACATGAAGGCAGCCAGTGTTGCAGCTGCAATTCCAGTGGTTTCTAATCTGTCAGATTCCGTTCTTTCTCTCCTACAAGCAAACCCGCTTCAGGATGGAACTGCCAAGTTTTGGGATGAGTCATTGCATCGAGTGTGGAAATGTTATTTTACTTTCATTGAGACTTATTTGCACCAAAAGTCAGTGAAGGACTTTCTTGGTTGGATGTCAGCAATATTGGAAGTTGGTTTCAGGCATCCACTTCAGGAAATTCGGAACATAACAGTAACATTTTGGGACAATGTAGTTGTTCCTGCATTTGTCATAGACAATACTAATGTACCCAAAGTTCTGAAGGAAGCAAGAGAAAAATGTGGGAAAACACCAGATACATCTTGTGTTGTGCCTCATATCACCACAAGTCAACTGGATGATGAGGTCGAGCCACTCAGCACAGTTCCTGTTGCACTGTTTGCATTACCTGAAGAAACTAACAAGGTTTGTATACTAAAGTTGAAACAGGCAGCCTATTGCTTCTCATCTGCCGAGTACTGAAGTGTACTATGTGTCAGCATCCTTTGCTGGGAAAGTGGGCTTGAAATTTGGAAATGATCTGCTGTTTAAATGTGACTTAGAACAAGGCACATTCTGAAATCCCACACTTGCAATTAAGGTAAACTTATGGAAATGTGTGGAGTTATTGCAACACAGTATGGAGAATCACAAAAATGCATTATCTCATTTTTGCCCAAAAGTGGAGTTAGAACACTCCAGTATTCAGGCAACAGTATATTCCAAGCATCTTAACTCTTAAGATTTTATTTCTAGAATTCTCAGAGAATGGATTTCTTTATTCGAATAAAGTATGTGACAAGTGGTTGATTCACATACAAATATCATGTTGGACATTGTCCATTTTGTGAGATATGTTTGACATAAAGTGTCACTAAGAACACTGTTTATGAGACATACCCCAGACAATGGACGGTGTCCTTATTCATATAATGTCATTGGAGACTGTCCCACCTTCATAATATAAACTCCCTGTCAGCAGTAATACCAATGTGAACCTCTGAGGTGGAACTATTGCTGTCACCATATACTGAATGTTCATGGGGTGGTAGGAAAAGTATGCACTTGTTATTAAGGTAATTTTGGAGAGGGAAGAGAAAGTAACACCCAAGACAAATGCACAGGTTGTCATTTACATTCCCTACAGTATGGACAGTACTTTGTAAGATGAGGCACCAACTAAAGAATTAACATTAATTTATTACATCTACATCACGAGCCTCCTATACAATCTTATAATATACAATATTCCAATTTGTCCATGGGAACGCAATGAAATTACAAAACCAGTGACTGATTCGATGATATAAAACATCAATCTAAAATTTTATTCTTGTTTTATACTATAACTTCTGTTTTATATAATCTGATTTATTGTATTCTTTATGTCTTTAATATGATTAATAGTATTGTATCCAATTTTAATAGTACTGCAGTTCAGTGGTGTATATATGTTAACCATGTATTTGCCTGATGATGGCTGTTGATAGCCGAAACTAGGCACTGATCTTGATATTTGTTGTGTTGTGATGGTTAATAAAGAGGTTATGTATTGTAACACAACAGGATGCATGAAATGAAAATTAGGTTATTTGTTTCATGACAATTGATAAATGTAACGACTTATTTGTCAGTTTATGTACCAGTGCCTAAAATGATCATATTGTTTGCAACCCTGAAATTCACCAAACCATAAAAAAGTGTTATTAGCCTATACCAGCCTTGCAATGCAGTTTTGCAGTGGTGCTTGCACATGGTCTAGCTGGCCAAGCATTGCATTTTTTCAGTGCTACTACCATTACTCCCCCAAACTAGAAGCCCTCTGCCAGCCATATAATACCAAAGCACGGAATATCCCCTATTCATATACCATAAACTGTTAATATATAGTAATTTCTATTATTCTATCTTGCAGACTGATTGTATATCAAGTTGTATTGTCTTAAGTTATATTTGCATATGATTTTGAATGGTTTCAGCAAAACAGACATTGCCAATCCTTACTTCAGCAGCTGCAGGATGATGGTCATATTTTGACAAAACACCAGAAAGAAGTTTTCAGACGCAGAAAAGATGATATTCCTGAACTATACAGCAGCAGTATCCAGCCTGTACAAGAAGACTCCATTATTTCTGAGAGTTCCCAAGATACGTGAGTGGACCATGTAATATTCAGAGCATGCGAACTGTGAATTGTATGAAAACGTGTATGTATGACACAGTCCGTCAATAATACAACAAATTGTTGCTTTTTCTTCCACTTATACTTTAACACAACATGTTTCAGCCTTAGATTGCCATCTTCAGGTGTCTTAATATATTAAAACTGCTATATTGCATTAATGTGCACTAAAATCAGAATCAGAAAAAGAACAATTTGTTGCATTATTGACAGACTGTGTTATACGTAGACGTCTTAATATGTCTTGCAACAGGATGATTAAATACAGAATTGTGAATTGTGTGAATTTGGAGGCATGGTTGTAGGAAGGTTCCTTCCTGCCAGTGATAACATGAATGTTGAAAGTATGGGAGCCCTGTGTGAATTTCATCTCAATTGCTTATAGCAGAGTGTGATTGTTCACCATCTTTGCGTCTCCTGCAGTATTTCATGCTCTTTATATTTATTTCCTCCTGTTATTACTTAACATATTCATTTTCATAAGAGTTTTCCTGTATTTGAAGAACATTCTCCCACTAATCTTGTTTCCTCATTTCATCCTATTGTATTTGATGGCCATCACTCCTAGAATGGTCATTTATTTGGGGAATGTAGTCTTTCTGCATCATACTTTGGAGTTACATGTCTTCTGTCCATACAATGGAGGCTCTATAATGTTTGCCTTGGGGAATGGATTTTTGTACATGAAATCAAGAGACATCTTAACTCTTTGACTGGCACGAAGGGTATTTAAATCTCACCCCTGTCCTGGCAGGCCCTTTAAACCTCATGTCGCTAAAATGCATGTAGTTACTTTTTCCTAAACAACTTCAACAAAAATTGGTTTTTAAAAACGAAATTTTTAGGAACTAATTAATATACAATATTTTATGCAATAAATGCTTTTCCACACCTCTT